CATTATTCAAGTAAATGTTCGCCATCATTGGTCATTATGGATATTATTAAGTGCTATATATTTAAGAAATAAAATAATTTAAATGCTACTTAGGGAAATGACTTAAGTTTTAGTGCTATTTAGTGCAAATATTTCTTACTACCTCCGTCTCAGTGTATTTGTCCAGTATGACTTTTTCAAGTCAAACTGGACAAACTTTGAACTCCAATTACTTTCAATTTATATTGCATATTAGAATAATGAAATATAATTTTGGAAGTTCTCAATACGATAAATCCAATAAAGTCAATTTTATGTTAAAATATATTATGATTTTTATTTAATTGAAGCTCAAAATTTGTATAATTTAACTCGAAAAAATCAAATTTAATACATTGGGACGGAGGGAGTATTATTGTAGTACACCGGTGGTTTGTACTAGTTTTGTTATAAAAAAACAAAACAGAGAATAAAAGATAAGCAGGAGCGGGTCTAATCCGCTACCACATGTGACACCAATATGGGACAAAATTTCAACAGTTGCAGCTTTTAGGCTCCTCTCTTCCTCTCTATAAAACGCCCCTTTCTCTCCTCCCGCTTCAAACCATCCAAAATTCCCCTTCTCTTTCTTTCTTCTTCTTCCTCAATCACCTAAAAAACACACACAGAGAGAGAGAGAGAGGCAATATAATGTGTAACTCCTCCGCACTCTCTTCTGTAACGGCGGCGATGGGGCCGTCGTCGGACGAATTCCTCCCCTCCGAGCCCACCGACAAAACAAACAGCCTTCTCTCTCTCCCTCTGCTCCCGTCGTCAAAGCCCCGGCAAGATAAGACCCTCCCTGTCCTCCGGGAAGCAGAGGCTATTGCCCGAATTGCCCTCCCCATGATCCTCACCGGCCTCATCCTCTACTCCCGCTCCATGATCTCCATGCTCTTCCTCGGCCGCCTCGGCGGCCTCTCCCTCGCCGGCGGCTCCCTCGCATTGGGCTTCGCCAACATCACCGGCTACTCCATCCTCTCCGGCCTCTCCATGGGAATGGAACCCATTTGCGGCCAAGCTTTCGGCGCCAAGAAATACTCCCTCCTCGGCCTCACCTTACAAAGAACCATTCTTTTACTCCTCTTGACTTCCCTCCCCATTTCCCTCCTCTGGGTCAACATTAAAAAGATTCTGATTTTCTGCGGCCAAGACCCGGCGATCGCCGCCGAGGCCCAATCTTACCTGATTTACTCCCTTCCCGATCTCGTGGCCCAGTCTTTTCTTCATCCCCTGAGGATTTACCTCCGAACTCAGTCGATCACTCTGCCTCTCACCTTCTGCGCGGCTTTCTCCATTGTTCTCCACGTGCCCATAAATTATTTCCTGGTGACGAAGATGGGTATGGGGGTCAAAGGGGTCGCCCTCAGTGGGGTGTGGACAAATTTCAATCTTGTCGGTTCTTTGATCGTTTATATTGTAATCTCCGGCGTGTACGAGAAGACCTGGGAGGCAGTGTCGTCGGAATGCCTGAAAGGGTGGAGGGCTCTGATGAATCTGGCGATTCCGAGCTGCGTCTCCGTTTGCCTGGAGTGGTGGTGGTACGAAATCATGATCCTTCTCTGCGGTCTGCTGGTGAATCCGACGGCCACCGTCGCCTCGATGGGGCTTCTGATTCAGACCACTTCCCTGATCTACATTTTCCCTTCGTCCCTCAGTTTCAGCGTCTCCACCAGAGTGGGGAATGAGCTCGGCGCCAGAGAGCCCGGAAGGGCCAAACGCGCCGCCGTGGTGGGACTCGCCGGAAGTTTCTTTTTCGGAATCACGGCTCTGTTTTTCACCATCTCCGTCAGGAATGTGTGGGCGAAGATGTTCACGGAGGATAAAGACATAATTGCCCTCACCGCTCTGGTCCTGCCCGTGATCGGGCTGTGCGAGCTCGGGAACTGCCCGCAGACGACCGGGTGCGGGGTCTTGAGAGGGACGGCGAGGCCGAAGACCGGAGCGCACATCAATCTCGGCTGCTTCTACCTCGTCGGAATGCCGGTGGCGGTCGGATTGAGCTTCTACGGCGGCTTCGACTTCGAAGGCCTCTGGTTGGGGCTGCTGGTGGCGCAGGCTTCTTGTATGGTCACCATGCTCCTGGTTTTGCTCCGGACAGATTGGGACCTCGAAGCCCGGCGAGCGGAGGTTCTCACCACCGCCGTCAATGGCAGAAACGATGAAGACTCTTTGTGTTAATAGTTACCATTTTTTTTCTATCTTATTAGCATCTTTTTTTTAATAGGCGCACAACACCTATAAATATACTTTTATGTTTTTCTCCAAAAAAAAAACCATATCCTAAAAATTTGTCAACTTGTAGAGAAAGTTGGCAAAATGGAACAATATATGTAAAATAATGTGAAAAAGAGATGTAAAGGGGCTGAGCATAATCTGACTCTGATTTGTAGTTCCAGAAATATTGTGGAAGAATCTACCATTTATAGAATAACATCCAAAATTACATACTTTGTACTTTTGTAGCCCTGCTAATGCTAGAATTTGTATTGTTTTGGATTCTCTATTTGTTTTTATTTTAGACGTTTAAGATGAAATTCAGAATTAGTAAATTAGGGTGCAATATTCAGATTGTCATGTGTGACGAATACAATAACTTTCGGGTTCTGCGATTTTGTGATGAAGACAAAGACTGAGATTTAGGTTATGAGGGATATCTGATGACGGGGAGGGGTAATTTAATTGATAGACGGGTGTGAGAAGTTACCGCTTCAACCCTACATTGAACATGTGGATAACAATTAGAGTGGCGAAGGACTGGTGTGGAAAAAAGCAAAGAAGTAGGTACTACGCTTGTAATATTTGATAAATAAAGACTAAATATAGAAAGTTGTCTATAACTAGGGATCATTTTGAAATCTATTCTTACGTCCGGCTTTAGCACAATTCTATATTATACTCTCTCCGTCAAAAAAAAAATTCACAGACTAACTTTTTTGTTAAAGTGTATAATAGTTGATCATAAATTAAACATAATTTTAAATAATTAAATGTTATAAAAATTTGATATGTTAAAATTATATTTTAAAACGAATCTGATTTTATTAAACTTTACGGTATATATAACTAAGGGGAAGGTTCAAATGACATTGAACCTTAATGTCATAGGATGACCCGGGGCTCCCCGGTGCCCCGTTCGTAAAATTGACGGTTCCTACCCCCACTAACCCCCCCGGTAAACCCCCCACCCCGGCCCCGACCCGAACACACCCCCCACCCCCTTCAATTGCACCCCACAAGTTGATTTTGACTTTGGAGTCAAATTTTGACTCTAAAGTCAAAATCAACTTGTGGGGCGCAATTGAAGGAGGTGGGGGTGTGTGTTCGGGTCGGGGCCGGGGTGGGGGTTTACCGGGGGAGTTAAGGGGGGTAGGAATCGTCAATTTTACGAACGGGGTACCGGAGTGGCCCCGAGTCATCCTATGACATTAAGGTTCAATGTCATTATTTATGATCAAACTTTTTGCCACAGAGAAAGTATAAGCTTTGATTCTAGCCCTATTCCAAAAAGAAAGAGGAGCAAGAAAAGAGAGGGAATTTGTGTTGCAAGAGAGAAGAAATAAAATTTGTGTACAATATTTGCAATTTCTAAATCAACTTTATATTTCAGAGTTTTTTTGTGTAATCGTCCAATTGTAAAGGAACCTTGTTTTACCAACTCAATGTCGTTGTTGAAGCCTATAAAAACAGGGATACTAATGGTAAAACTTCGAAAACAAAACGTGGAAAAGTGTCAAATTAAGTAAACTTACCTGTAATGATAAGAGTACAAATTTATAAGGATCACGATTTAGAAAGACAATGGCCCCATTGCGAGAAAACACTTCAATTAGCTCCCTCTGGTTCTCTTCGGTCTCCAATTTCAAATCCGTCACCTGTGAGACTTTCGGCCTTAATCTGAGCTGGATTAGTCGAATTTTGATATAGGTGGATTCAGAACACTTGTGGAGTTGAGGTCTAAAAGTGATTTTATCAAATGTCAAATGAGTTGATCGGGAGCGATTTTCAACAGAAAATTACTTTGTGCGTACTATCGATTTTTTAATAAGAACTTTCTAGGTGTACATTATTTGAAATATATTTCGATGGTTCTTAAAACTCGTAGTATTGTACTCTGATGGTACATTCTGTCCACTTGGCCATTAGAATTTGCAAGTTTTTCTACTTTGACCATTCAAATACTAAAAAATTTAATAATACGCCACCTCCAAGTTCTTATCAGAAAACGTGAAGTACCCCTGAGTAAACTTTTTTGTGTTTGATTGGTCAAAGTAAGAAAACTTTCAATCATAACCAACAAATGAACATAATTATGCAATCAGAGTACATTAGCATGAATTTGAAGACCCCGAAGTATCAAATAATATGGGTCTTGGGAGTTAATAATGATGATAGTTCTGCCAGAATCCGACCTTTACTGACCTAATTGAAGCTTATAATATCCAAATCCAAACTGAAAAATTAAATATCCGAATCCGATCTGAAAAACTTTAAACCAAACCCGACCTTTGTCGGGTTGAGTTTCGTGCATTATATTTGATTGACCGACCCGAACCTGACCACAAATATGCCTTAAAAAACTCTAAACCCATATATAATTTATTTCTTGATACATATATTTTGAATGTGTTAAAATTTATTGCATTTCTTTGTGTTTTATTTTTTATCGTGGAGAATTCTTGTGACATCCCTATTTTATATCTCTTGTACCTAGTATGTTATTTGTTGAGAATTTATTGTTTAAATTTTTTTAGAGTCATTCGGTCATAACTATATTTCCTAATATCTTGACTTTAATGTCATCTTTAAAATTTTAATTTTTAAATGTATTTCAATCTTAATCTAATCATGAATGCGTTTATTAGTACTGAAACCCGAATTTGATTGTTACCGACTCGATCCAATCTTAAATAGAATTCGAACTGAAAAATAAATATTCAACCCCGACCTGCTAAAATCAGACCTGAACCCGACCTAAGTCGGGTCGGATTTCAATATACTAAAATCCGATCGAGCCCGATCCATTGACATCCTTACTCGGAGTTCTTACCAGCAAACTCGGGGGCATTTTTTTATTTTCAAGTTTAAATGTCAAAATAATCCAATAATATATTTGTCCGTTACGAAATGAAAATGTGTTCTGGCATATGAAACGAATGTTTTGATGTATTACACGCAAAAATAATTAATGAACTAATGAGAAATTATTCCATTTGAAAACTAGTCCAATCAGTAAAAAAATCGGGTCCAAATTTAGTTCGAATAGGAAAAGTATGGGCCAATGAATTGAATGACCGCAAATAAAATGTGAAAAACAATGGGCTTTCGGATAACTTCAAAAGCCATTTTATTTTCTTAGGCTGCTGCTACCCTACGGACGAGATTCATTTCCATTGAATGAAAAAAGACGTGCAACAAGTCAAAAAGAAATATTCTTTTCCCAGCTCCCAAAATGGAAAGGCCACGTACAATGACAAAAATGATGCCCTCCAAAAATGTACTCGGGTGGTTAAATATATTTTATCGGTCTAAAAATAATTTCTCATTACATGTTACGATATTTGACCAAATTTTTTTTAATTACTTTATATGAAAATAATGGTGTAGATGTTAAAAATAAAAAATTACATATTTAATAGCTACATCAAAGGATCAAGTTAGAGGTGGCGAAACTATATTATTTTATCAAATCGGAAATAAATATAAGCCAACAAATGAATAAAATTTGATCTTATGAATAATGAACACCAAGTAATTTTTGAATGGAGAGAATGATCATTGTTCCCCTTTTTAATTATTAGTCTTTTACTTGGGATGAGACTTGGTTAAGTCTTTTAGGTTTGAATTTGGGATCGAACCTAATTAACAAAAATGATGGACACGTAATTAACTGTTGTTGGACACGTAATTAACTGTTGTTGGACTCGTAATTAAGTCACGGTCTTTTAACTATACTTAAAACACTAATCAAGTTCAGTTATTCTAAAATTCTACAGATTACTTTCAGGAAGTTAATTTGAGGATTAGTTTAAAAATTAATTGATGGGTTTTAAATTTGTACATAAAATTATACCATTATTTGTCAAATTTGGTGTGATTAAATTATACTCCAGTATTTAACTTGGCAAGTGACGTTCTCTAAATGTTGCTTCAATTGGCATAGTATCTATATCTATCTAGCTATAAGGACAAACTGGACAGTATTCACATGAATAATGTATAGTATGTCATCACGTACCCAGCTAGCTAGATACTCCCCCCCGTTTCTATAAAAGATTTACGTTTTCACTTTGGGCTGAAATAAGAAAGAATTATTTAGAGTTGACTTTCCATTTTTGTCCTTGATGTGATGGGTAAAAGTATGATCCGATTGATAGGTTTTTAGTGAAAAACCATGATATGATAGATTAGATAAGAAAAAATAGGGATAAAAGTAATTTTTTAATAGAATGCGGAAGTGTTTTAAGGAAAACAAAAAATGAAACAGGAATGATTTTAAAAAACGGAGGGAGTACATGAGATTAGTCGTCATTGGATAGTGTGAAGATCATAGATATGTATGTGTATGATGGTGAATAATAGTACATGCATGCATTTGGCATCATAGACATGTATATGTATGTGTACTGATGGTGAAGATCATGGATATATAAATCATCGAGATTGTTTTGGATATGCACTTAGCTAGCTAGCTAGCTGCTTATATATATATATATGTTGTGGATCATTATTGACTGTGCATGCGTCGTTTGCACGTACATGCAGTATATTTATAATTATAATATGGGTACAATATGTATGCATTCATTAATGGAGCTGGCGACCAACAAGCACGTACAACCCTCCAAGTTTCACCTCTCAAAAATCAAAAAATTGAAATTTTTTTGTAGATTTGTGAGACACATAAAAAATTGAATACAAAAATAATTGGTATATAAGCTTTTGAATTGAATTAAGGGCCTGTTTGGGAATAACGTTAGAGGTTAGCATTAGCGTTTTGAAAAACTATCTACAGCCAGCGTTTAGCGTTAGCGACTTAGCGTTTTCAAAATAATCTGAACCGTTAAAATTCTATCCAAAACGCTAACGCTAATCTCTAACGCTATTCCCAAACATGCTCTAAGTAATCGATTGAATTCAATTTTTAATACGGTTCAACCAAATTTCTTATGATCAAGTCCAATGATCCCTACCCCATTTAAAAATTGTAAATTTGCACTGAATAAGACTAAAACATAAGTCATTTCCCAATGTAGGACTTAAACTTTTTTATTCCTTAAATAAAACTTAATAATGACTAGTGAGAAGAATAATGTCCAAGTGAATAAGAGATGGCCGTCTAAACTGACGTTCATTTTTGTTGATCCTAATCATTAGCCCAGTGCCGAATGTATACCCAACGATATGTGGCCATTGAGATGAATGAATAGTGTGTGAATAATTCATTTTCAGACAAAAACGAAAGAGTGATACTCTATTTGTAATAATTGCATGCATGCATCTCTGAACGTACGTGCATGGCGCATGTGTGTGTACGTGTGGAACAGCTCAGTTGTTGTTCGTATG